TTTTGCTGCAGGTTGGCTCCACCGTTCGTCTAGAGTCTATAAGATGGTTGTCTGGACCCCCCCACCTTTGCCAAGGCCACGCAGCGCCAGCAGATTTTTTTCCTTTCACCACTACAATGTTTTGCAACCACGCATGCACCTGCAGGAATCAGGTGTCGTTGCCGCTCTTTGAACCGGCACCTGGTGCTGGCACTGTGGCAGTGGAGGTCGTTCGGAAGGTGGGAAGCGGGTCGTTCGGCACCTGGTGGGTCTCCGGGAGACTCGCCAGACACGGATCCATGAGCCCCGGTGTTCAGACCTTCCATGAGCCGTGCTCGCGTGAAACGCCAAGGTTTGGAACTCGCGGCACAGAGAGCTGGTTCGGAGCTGTTCGGTGATTTGTGATAGCCGACGTCGAGGGCAGATGGGTTTTCCTGCATTGTTTGGTAAGCCTATGAGTCTGCCACTTCATACTATAGAAAAACATCGCGTTAGACACATCTTTTTTGGGACCGTGATTTTGCAATCAGGCTTGCACATGATATGTCCTTTGAATGTAGGAAGCACTTGGTTGCGAACATGTTTAACACTTTTGATATAGTAGTGAATCTGCAGCTGCGACAAAAGGCGTATTCTGGAAGACAAATCTTTTGCAGCATCCGAGTGTCAGATCCGAATCAAAACCTCCACAGACATCTGTCACTGTCACAAGGCTGCAGAACACCAACTGTACGACCGCGTGCATGTAGTAGGGAAGAAGGTTTTCCCTCCCTGATCACCGTCTCTGACTGTCTCTCTTTCTCTGTATCCTGAGCAAGTTGGACGTGAAACATTGTATTGTTTCAATATGTGATGGTCGTCCCCTGTAGGTATCAATTCGAAAACATGTGTGTGTGTGTGTGTCCACCCCTGGACAAAGGGTCTTCCACCACCACTCTTTCCATGCTTTTCAACTACCTTGGACAACCACCTTATATAGGCAGGGGAGTGGAGCAGGCCTGCAGAGCTCCACTTAACAAAGCTCTCTGCAGTGTCCTGAGGATATCGGCCAGGACGCTGGCCGACGTACCTGCAAACAACGGTTGAGCAAGCTGTTCCAATCCTCTTTTTGTTTCCATGGTAGTTCATGATACCTCCCACAAACTTTCCCACTTTCTCACACAGCTGACTTGTACAGAGGCTCGCCACCGCACACCTGTCGAAACATTGTTCAACAGTACAGTTTTGCTGACTCATGCACCTTTCCGTTCCCTCACCTTCCTTCCCAGCGGAGAAATTGAGCTTTAACGGAAAACCAGTGTCGAAGTGTGTCCCGCTCAGCCGTCCCACTCGGGTGCTGAGTGTGATCCCCGTCATAGGGGCGCCGATCTTGCATGGGAAAGCAACCACCCCAACGCACCACCACTCACTGGACTCTCACAGGAAGGCACCGACACCCTCACCGAATCAACTGACATACCGGCCGCCGGGCCTAAAAACGGTTCTTGAAGAATACATCAGATTTCAGCTTTCAGATTTCGGATCCGTCATGTTCACTTCTCCAAGTCATGTTTGTTTTTCCACGAGCCTGAACATACTTGACGGCTAAGTATTCACATGCCTGCGCTGCTAAGTATTCACAGGCCGGATGAATTCATCATGCACAACCCCCCCCCCCCCTCCCTACCCCCAGGCCTCCGTTGCTATCCCACCCGCTACTCGGGAAACAGAAGGAAATCGCACTCAACACACTTGTGTGTTGGTGCCTTTCCTTCTGTTTCTCCTAGCTATTGCTAGCTACCCGGGCGGTTTAAGACGAATGTCCCGCTCGCCTTCTACTTTCGTTTAACTAAGTGGGCCTCGTAACTACCCTACTTTTCTTTCTTGCCCTCTTAGTCTGCTCTTGTTTCGTTGCTTTTTCTGTCTTTCCCAGGCTTTTTAGGTGTCTACTAGTTCTTCGTTGCGCCAACAATTTGGCGCTTTTT